GGACATGTAGTTTTAAATTGACATTAAGTAAGAGACAAACAAATTAAAGCCATCTCCATTCAAATACTTTTTAAGCAGTTATAGTAACAGTTTTTTTTAATAAAGGTTTAAACCATATCAATATAAGCTGAGAATTGTAAGCACCCTTGTCAGCGTGATATGGTTTTTTGAACCCTGTTACTGCCATCCTTGCTGAACAGCTTGGCCTGTTACAAGAAATTAAAACATAATGGACCTAATGGCAGGGCCAACAAGTAATAAAGCTGTGTTACAGGAGGACTCAGAAAAGAGAAAAAATACTGCTGTGCTACTGACAGATTTATTACAGGTACTTATATAGCAACGTCAATTTACGCAGGCTTTGAATATATATACAGTATATACCGTATTTTCCAGCGTATAAGACGACCCCCTACTTTTCCTGTTAAAATGTAGTGTTTGGGCTATACTCTCCGTATATAAGACTACCCCTCTTCCAATGCACACCAGTGGAAAGAATCGTGCCCCATCATTGGTGTCAGTGGGAAGAATCGTGCCCCATCATTGGTGTCAGTGGGAAGAATAGTGCCCCATCATTGGTGTCAGTGGGAGGAATAGTGCCCCATCATTGGTATTAGTGGGAGGAATAGTGCCCCATCATTGATATCAGTGGGAGGAATAGTGCCCCATAATTGGCATCAGTGGGAGGAATAGTGCCCCATCATTGGTGTCAGAGTGACGAATCGTGCCCCATCATTGGTGTCAGCGGGAGGAATAGCACCCCATCATTGGTGTCAGTGGGAGGAATAGCGCCCCATCATTGGTGTCAGTGGGAGAAATCGTGCCCCATCATTGGTGTCAGTGGCTGGAATAGTGCCCCATCTTTGGTGTCAGTGGGAGGAATCGTGCCCCAACATTGGTGTCAGTGGGAGGAATAGTGTCCCAACATTGGTGTCAGTGGGAGGAATAGTGTCCCAACATTGGTGTCAGTGGGAGGAATAGTGTCCCAACATTGGGGTCAGTGGGGGGTGGAATAGTGCCTCATCATTGGTGTCAGTAGGAGGAATAGTGCCCCATCATTGGTGTCAATGGGGGTTGGAATAGTGCCCCATTGTTGTTGTCAGTGGGGGGGGGAGAAATAGTGCCCCATCGTTGGTGTCAGTGGGGCGGAGGAAAAGTGCCCCATCGTTGGTGTCAGTAAGAGGAATAATGCCAATGATGGGGCACTATTCCTCCCACTGACACCAATTACACTTGCTGTCCCCTGATCTAGTATGGTGCTGCTGCAGCCAGCATATGTGGTTGCAGCAGCACCTCTGGACGGCACACTTACCAGCCGCTTCTTCACTCAATTTTCTCAGGGCCGCTCGGCTCTGCCTCCTCGCCGGTGATTGGCTGCCTGTGTGCCTTTCCTGAGCTACAGTTCTGGTGGCCAATCACCGGTGAGGAGGCGGAGCCGAGCAGCCGCACGAACATCCAGTGGCCGAACCAAATGAAGGAGCAGCCGCGCTTCCTGTACCGGATCGTCGTGGGACCGGAGCCAGGTAAGAGACAGCATCCCCTGCCCACCCCTGTTCTTAGTGTCCCTTCCGTCGGAAGGGGGGGGAGGCGGCAGCGGCATCACGCCGCCCCCCTAAAAAGTGTCAGTATACCGGCGTATAAAACGACCCCCGACTTTAGAGAAGATTTTCAAGGGGTAAAAAGTAATCTTATACGCCGGAAAATACGGTATATATATATATATATATATATATATATTGTACATTCCCACCAGTCCCTAACCCTCAAAGAGCGTACAATCTAAGGTCTCTAAATAAATTACATTCATGCATACACATACTAGGGCCAATTTAGACAGGAGCCAATTCACCTACCAGCATGTCTTTGGAGTGTCGGAGGAAACCCAGGCAGGCACAGGGACAACATGCAAACACCAGGCAGGTGGTACTGTGGTTGGGATTCCAGCCAACAACCCTAATACTGCCAGATGGAAGTCCTAACCATTTAGCCACTGTGCTGCTCAGATTGTATCATATATGTAGTTTTGATTTTGCCCATTGTTCTTTAACCACTTCCCAACCGGCCGTTGTATATAAACGGCCGGACGGTGGCAGTGCAGGGTCGGGTGGCCGTTTATAAACTTCACCCTGCTTGTGCGCGCTCCCTCGGAGCGCGCAGCACCGTGATCCGGTGCCCGCTGTGGGGAAACAGGAAACAGGAACAGGAAAAGTGCCCGTCGTCTTATGTGTCCGGTATATACCTCCGGACACAGTGAAACACCGATCGTCGGACGGGACCTCTGTACGAGGTCCCGATCATGTGATCACTGATTGGCCACTTGTGACATCATTGCTTACTACATGTGAAATCTGTGAATGATCACAGAGGTCACATGGTACGAGACTATTCGCAACAGCCTTGTACCATGTGACAAGCTGTGACCAATCACAGCTCACTCAGTACTTCTCAATGAGTGCAAGAATGCACACAGAGAGAAAGAGAAATGATTGCTTTTACATCCAATATGGGTGTAAAAACAATCAGTGTAAAAAAAAAAAAAAAAAAAAATCTTCATCACCCCCCACAAGTAGTACAGTGTCACCATGGTGACACTGTACTGCTAGGGTGACAGTATGTAAAAAAAATAAATAAATAAAAAATAATATAAAAATGTAAAAAAAATGTTTTTAAAAATTATAATTTTTGGTTATAAACTAATTTATATTTATTTTTTTTTACTAAAAAGATAACGGAATAAATTTTGGCAAAGATTTATGATGAAATATTATTTATTTGCAAAAGTTTATAAAAAAAAACCACTTTTTTTTCAAATTTTTCAAAATTTTTGGACTTTTCATTTAAATAGCAAAAAAAAAATAAAAATCCCAGCGGTGAATAAATACCACCAAAATAAAGCTTTATCTGTCTCAAAAAAATGGTAAAAAATTCATTTGGGTACAGTGTTGCATGACCGCGCAATTGTCATTCAAAGTGTGATAGTGCTGAAAGCTGAAGTCTGGAAGTGGTTAAAAATGCATTATAATATCATAATAATAATAAATAAATTTATGCAGTACAGCTTGCATATTTCCCTTGCACAAAGCACTGTGATCAGCATATCACAAGTATTTCCTCCATTCAGCAGTATCAGTGGCGTATCATCCAGCGCACAGGAGTGTGCGAGGCACATGGGCCCCAAGGGAAGAGGGGTCCCACTGTGCCTTGTCATAGACTACACTCTCAGAGTAATCTAGTAAACTACTGCATCATCTCTCTTGCTGGCTGGAGCATTTCTGCCTGTGATGGGTTGCGGTGGTGGTGGTGGTGGGGGGGGGGGGTGATCCTGGGATATCTCACTTACAGGAATCTTATGAGTGAGATATTAGGACACAAGATTGGCAATGTGCTATATTAACAGGATGGAGGAGGCTGAATCTGCTCCGCCTTCCATCCTATCCCTGCTGAGTCTGTGTCAGGAATGGACTTGCCAGTAATGGTGGGACTCACCTGCCTTGTGGGCTGCAGTACCAGGGCTGGCCAGCGGGTGCTCCCGGCAATCAGAGACTCAACCCTGCAGCCAGCCAAACACCTGAAGCTGATCATGCAGGTGTATTTAAGGGATGGCCAGACCTGCAGTCTCGGCCTTGGTGTGTGCTTTTCTATGGGCCCCTGGTCCTGTTCCTGTCTGACTGATTCGTTGCTGACCCTGCTTGATCTGGACCTCTGCTGACTTCTCCTGTTTGATCCCTGGCTTGTGACCCCGACCACTCTCTGCCTGACCCCCTGTACCTACCTGCCCGTTAGTTGCTGTACCTGGCTCGTGACCTGACTACTCTTTGCCTGCTCCTCCTGTTCCTACCTGCCCGATTGTTATTGACCCGGCCTGCCTGACGACGCTTGCATTGTATGTACTGTTATCTGTGGGTGGTTTGGTTTGGTTCGTTTGCACTGTGTTATGTTTTAGTATTGCACTACGTTTATGTATTGTTAGTGTTAATAAATTATATTGTTTATAACATATCTGAAGCCTGCGTTTCCCTGTGTCAATTCACATACCTCTGGTCACACCCCGGAGCCCTGACATTACACCAAGGCCAATCCTGACCAGAAGTGGCTGCACAGGGAAGCCATCTTGGCTTGTTGCTGGGAAGGATGGATCTGGATGAGGTTGTGTATTTATCTCTGCTAGTGTTTGATGACAGAGAATATGCTTATCAGACTCTGAAGGAGTATCCCCGGGATCAACTGCTAGAATGTATACGGATCGCTCATGTTCTAGTAGATCAGGGCACAGAATTCTCTGAGGTGCAGCCATTGATTCAGGTTTGTGCTGAGTTGGTTTCATCTGGTACCCCCGAATGCAGGGATGAATTTTTTGCCGCCATTTAGTGCCGACCAGGTAGAGTCCCTGGTATGGTTATTAGAGGATGATGTGGATTACTTTCTGGAGTGTTATTCTGCATGTTCTCCACAGGTACTAAGAGATTGTATATAAACGCAGTGCAGTCTTTGACCAGACAGGCTTTGTGTAAACTGAGCTTCGTTCAACCCATACTGCAGACATGGTCAGACTTGTTGCACCCAGCCTCAGTCAGCTTACAACATCATTCCTCCACTCAAGGCACTCTTCCTGCATCCCCGACAGCACCCCCAGTGACTGCCCAGTATACTCTAACTACCACATACCAGTCCTCTGCTCCCACTCGCTGCACCTATCCTTTCTTTAACCCTGTAAAGAAGTCCTCTGTAGCAACTGCTCCCTCCTCTGTTCCATCTTCCAGCTCTTCTCTGTCCTCAGCTGCTCCATTCGTTTGCAGACCTGCGTTTACTTGCAGTGCCCCAGTAGTTAAAACCAGAAAAAAGCGGAAATTCTTTCCAACCAATACCATCCTGCCAGTATCCAAACCGGTGAGCCTGCCGTCTGAGAACCTGCCTTCCGTGGTTCAGCCTGGTGCCTCGGCACCCGCACTTCAGCCTGATGTCTGTACCCAGCCTGATGTCTGTACCCAGCCTGATGAACTGATCCAGCCTGATGATCCTATCACGCCTGATGACCCAGTGCCCGCTGTCGTGCCAAATGACCTGATGCCTGGTGACCCGATGCCCGCTGTCCAGCCAGACGATCCAATGTCTGACCCAGTGCCCGCGGTCATACCTGGTGACCCGATGCCCGCTGTCGAGCCAGACGATCCAGCGCCAGATGACCCGGTGCCCACTGTCGATCCAGACGATCTGGTACCTGATGACCCAGTGCCTGCTGTCATGCCTGGTGACCCGATGCCCGCTGTCGAGCCAGACGATCCAGCGCCAGATGACCCGGTGCCCGCTGTCGTGCCAATTGACTCAGAGTCCACTGTTGTGCCTGGTGACTCGGTGCCCACTGCCTTGCCAGATGACGTGGAGCCCGCTGTCGAGCCAAATGACCTGATGCCTGGTGACCCGATGCCCGCTGTCGAGCCAGACGATCCAATTCCTGATGACCCAGTGCCCGCGGTCATGCCTGGTGACCCGATGCCCGCTGTCGAGCCAGACGATCCAGCGCCAGATGACCCGGTGCCTGCTGTCGAGCAAGACGATCCGGTACCTGATGACCTGGTGCCCGCTGTCGTGCCAATTGACTCAGAGCCCACTGTCGTGCCTGGTGACTTGGTGCCCACTGCCTTGCCAGATGATGCGGTGCCCGCTGTCGAGCCAAATGACCTGATGCCTGGTGACCCGATGCCCGCTGTCCAGCCAGACGATCCAATGTCTGACCCAGTGCCCGCGGTCATGCCAGTTGACTCGGAGCCCACTGCCGTGCCAGTTGACTCGGAGCCCACTGCCGTGCCTGGTGACTCGGTGCCCACTGCCTTGTCAGATGACGCGGTGCCCACTGGCGAGCCAAATGACCTGATGCCTGGTGACCCGATGCCCGTTGTCGTGCCTGATGACCCGGTGCCCGCCGCCCCGCCTGGGGGCCCAGTGCCCGCCGCCCCACCTGGGGGCCCGGTGTCTGCCGCCCCTCCTGGGGGCCCGGTGTCTGCCGCCCCTCCTGGGGGCCCGGTGTCTGCCGCCCCGCCTTAGGGCCGGTGCCTGCTGCCCCGCCTAGGGCCCGGCGCCTGCCGCTGCCGCTCCGCCTGGGTGCCCGATGCCTGTCGCCCCGCCTGGGGGCCCGGTGCCTGTCGCCCCGCCTGGGGGCCCGGCGCCCGCCCGCCGCCCCTGCCTGGGGGCCCGATGGCTGTCACTCCGCCTGGTGGCCCGGTGCCTGTTGCTCCGCCTGGGGGCCCGGCGCCCGCTGCTCCGCCTGGTGGCACGGTGTCCAGCTCGATGTGCCTCTGCCCGGAGTCCAGCTCGATATGCCTCTGCCCGGAGTCCTGCCTGGAGTCCTGCCCGATGTGCCGCTGCCCGGAGTCCTGCCCGATGTGCCGCTGCCCCGGAGTCCTGCCCGATGTGCCGCTGCCCGGAGTCCTGCCCGATGTGCCAGTCTTTGATATCCCGCCAGTTACCAGACCCCGGGCGTTGGAACATTTTGCCCAGCTAGGACTGTTTGTAGCGTCCTGAGGCCGCTCCTTGAGGGGGGGTACTGTCAGGAATGGACTTGCCAGTAATGGTGGGACTCACCTGCCTTGTGGGCTGCAGTACCAGGGCTGGCCAGCGGGTGCTCCCGGCAATCAGAGACTCAACCCTGCAGCCAGCCAAACACCTGAAGCTGATCATGCAGGTGTATTTAAGGGATGGCCAGACCTGCAGTCTCGGCCTTGGTGTGTGCTTTTCTATGGGCCCCTGTTCCTGTTCCTGTCTGACTGATTCGTTGCTGACCCTGCTTGATCCGGACCTCTGCTGACTTCTCCTGTTTGATCCCTGGCTTGTGACCCTGACCACTCTCTGCCTGACCCCCTGTACCTACCTGCCCGTTAGTTGCTGTACCCGGCTCGTGACCTGACTACTACTCTCTGCCTGCTCCTCCTGTTCCTACCTGCCCGATTGTTATTGACCCGGCCTGCCTGACGACGCTTGCATTGTATGTATTATCTGTGGGTGGTTTGGTTTGGTTTGTTTGCACTGTGTTATGTTTTAGTATTGCACTACGTTTATGTATTGTTAGTGTTAATAAATTATATTGTTTATAACATATCTGAAGCCTGCGTTTCCCTGCGTCAGTTCACATACCTCTGGTCATACCCGGGAGCCCTGACAGTCTGCCGAGCTCACACTTCACCCTCGTACAGTATACACACAGCTCTGAAAGGGCTCTAGAACCTGGCTGCCTGAACCTATGGGAGAGAAGCCTGGTGCCATAATTGTGAGAAGCATACTGAACACCCCCCTCTCTTTCTCACCTCCCTCTGTCTCTCACCCCCTCTCTCTCACCCTCCTCCCTCTCACCCCTCCTCTCTTTCCCTCTCTCCTCACTCTCACCCTCCTCTCTTTCTCTCTCACTCTCACCTGCCTCATTCTCTCTCTCTCTCTCTCTCTCTCTCTCACCTGCCTCTATTTCCCTCCCTCTCTCACTCTCACCTGCCTCATTCTCTCTCTCTCTCTCTCTCTCTCTCTCTCTCTCACCTGCCTCTATTTCTCTCCCTCTCTCGCTCTCACCCACCTTATTACCCACCCCCTCTCTCTCTCCTGCCTCTCTCTTTCTTTCTCTCTCACTCTCACCCACCTCATTTTCTCTCTCTCTCACTCTCACCCCCTCTCTCTTACCCCCTCTCTCTCTTTCTCACCCTCCACCCCATCTCTCTCAACCCCCCTTGATCTCTCACACCCTCACCTCTCTCTCCCTCTCACTCCCCTCTCTCTCACCCCCCCCCTTTCTCACTCCTCCCTTTCTCTCAGCCCCTCTCTCTCATTCCCTCTATCTCCCCCCCACCCCCTTTCTTTCACCCCCCCCCATCTCTCTCTCTCTCTCCTCTTCCTCCATCTCTCTCCTACTTTCCCACCTCCCCCATCTCTTTCTCCATCCTATTTTTATCTCTCCGCCGCACTCCTCTTTCTTCTTCCACCCCCTCTTAGTTTCTAATATGAGTTTCTGTCATATTTCAGGTTCTCAGTAAAATATGCATTCTGCCAGTAGATTTTCCATGTTTTTTCAGTAAAAAAAGTTATGGAGGTTGGCAACCCTGTCAGGAAAGAGCTGAATGACTGCACGGGCAATTAACCCCTCAATCATCAGACATATTTACTGTACTATGTAACCAGACGGTGCTAACTACAGCCCCTGAAAACCACACCCAATTTTTTTCTCTACTGTTTGGGCCCAAATTATGATCTTGCCCACAGGCCCACCGCTTTCATAAAATGCCCCTGAGCAGTATCCCATTGACTGCCACATAGCAGACCATGTGAAACATGTCCCCTGAGCATGGTGATGTTATCTCTCCCTAAGATCTGTGTCCTTGCTGGAAAATGTAACCCCACTTCCACTTTTGTTTTCAGTGAAGAGGAAAAAGGTAAGAACCTCTGTTTATTCTTTTTTCTCCTAGTGTCACTATTAAGGAGATTTCTCCTTATGTCTTCTTATTTCCACTGTGGTATCAGGGTATATCCAGACAGAAAGTGAAGGGGCATCTCCTAGGACGAACGCACAGAAAGCAATCATGGGTGTATTTTTACAGGTATAAAGCAATGTTTTGGCATGGAAGTTGGGAGTCTGATGTAATAAGAGGACCTTGCTTTTTAGAGTAGGGTTTGCTTTTATGACCATGGCCAGGAAAATCATACCACCAAAGATACTGTATCTGCTAGCTGTGGTCAGCATGGTTTTCCCATTTAAAAATGAATCTACCTTTGTGTCCACTAGCTTCTGCTAATGCTATTCTTGCACTGCAGGATTGGTAAAGCCAATGGGCATATTGAAAGGTGGCAATATAGCGGGAAGAAAACCAGGCAATATGCTATACATGCTTCACCACTGGCCATGTAACATTCCTGGACTGATAATATTTCTTACTTCTTCAAAAGTAAAAATCAGCCTATTTATTATACTTTTTCATTTAATAGAATCATTTTGCAATCTGAGAATATTGTGGCTAAACTGACATTGGACTGGACTTGTAAAAGCACGTATAGGTATCAGACATCCTTATAGCTATTACAAGATATTTATAATGGCTTCTGTTTAGATACTATAACATCAGTGCCAACATATTTGTAAAATCCAGTATGGATATGATAAAGCAGAAACAGGACGGTTGTAAACCAGCAACAATTAATCATATCCTCTTTATACAGTGCAGACATAAGGTTGCTCAGGCTGTGTGAGATTACCCATACTTCCATATAATGAATGGACCTCTTAGTTAGGAATGTCACTGACGAGCCCCTGCAGACAGCTCTAATTGCTGGAAAAGGCATTTGACTTCATGTATGCCACTGTGGGAAGAACAGCATGTTACAAGGCGCAATGCTGCTATTATATCACATATCAGAGCATATGGGAAAGGAAAGAAGGAAGCTGTACTTCTCTAGTGTATAAATTCCCAGGTTCAGAAAAGTGTTATGCCGACACTGGGATATGCTGCTGTCCTCATCAAACGATGTAATCCCACATTTATATTTCTTTGTGTGATGGTATATATGATGAGGGTCTTCACAAAAAGATGCGAAGTGGAGGTTCACTTCTTTTTCAATGTTGCAGCCAGTAATGTAGGTTAAGAGGCATACATCTAAGCATTTTAAAAATGTGATAATTCTGCATGCGCGGACCCTGCTCTGTCATTTTACGTGGCCTACCACTTGGTAGCTGAGTTACTGTTCCCAGTTGCTTCCACTTTGTTAAATTACCACTAACAGTTGACCGTGGAATACCAATTAGGAAGGAAATTTCACGGATGGACTTATTGCACAGGTGGCAACCTATCACGGTACCACACTTGAATTCACTGAGCTCCTGAGAGCGACCCATTTTTTTCACAAATGTTTGTAGAAGCAGTCTGCAAGCTTAGGTGCTTGATTTTATACATCTGTGGCCATGGAGGTGGTCGAAAACACCTGAATCTAATGATTTCTAGGAGTGTCCCAATACTTTTGTCAATATAGTGTATATTGGAATGGACTAAAGATAGGAGTAATACTCCATGCATTAGTAGCTTTGTATTAATACAGATAAATATATAGGAAATCCAAAACATTTTGTCCAAATGCTCAACAAAAGATCAGGCTGTTAAGCTAGCCATACATGAGTCATTTTTTTGTTCAACAAAGAAAATAACTCTATTCCCTCTTCGATGTGGATGGACTTGTGTACAACCAGCCTGCCTATACATTGATCAAAATTTGTCTGGTCCCTGCTAAACTGGCTCAGTTTCGATCCATGTATGGGTGGCCTAAATGTGTATCTTTGCATGTA